AGACTTTTGGAATGAGGGACCCTGGTTTGGAGACCATGTACCAGGAGCTCCAGGACTGAGCTGACGTCATACTTTTTACTTCCTATGATGGATATTCATGAGAGCAGAATTCATTTCTGGAATCAACTGTCCGAAACAAAATCGATGCTTCCGATTGGATGAATTTCAAGTTTCAAACCCAGGTGGATTTGCAGTCTCACACTCAAAGAAAATCTGAATTTGAAAAGCATTTTCCTTGTTGTAGTAATTTTACAGTCATACATTTATGCTCCATTTTAATGTAAAGGCTGAAAAAAATGGCTGCTCCTCTTTTTGCTGGAAAACACATTTTAAAATGTCTGATGTGGGAATTTATATAAACCCGTATGTTACGGGAACCTGATCCACTGTATCCATCCTCCATTTTGCCTCCATTTTAACACCACTGAGTCTGTTTCCTAGAGGTTTGTAATAACCTCTAAGCGAACCTTCAAATTCTCTTAGTCAGAACATTTGAGTAGAACTTCATCTTTTGTATTCGTGTGAACTTCATCCACGAGTTTCTCTACATTTTCTACAACAGACTTAGTCACAGTGGTTGTTCCACCTCAGCCAATCAGAGATGTGTCGTGCTTAATCCTTTCTGGTTTGGAAACCATCAGCTTTCCTCTCCGTAAGAACCAGGATGTCTCCTCCGCTCTTCAGAGGAAAGCTTAAATGACTGATCTACTGTAGAATTAGAGCTCCTTTCCTCAGAAACAAGCTCTGTGGTGGTTATGGAGACGTCTTCCAAAGCCTGGAAATGTGCAAAATCTCTGACAACAGCCATCTTGGTCACGTGACAGTTTGGATTTCAAACCAGGGCAAAAGCCCTAAAAAAGCTAAAGTCGCTCAACCAAATCTTTGAGAGGAAAAAGCTAAAAAAAAAATATGCGTCAATGTTTTTTTTTAGCTTTTTCCTCTCAAAGATTTGTGGTTTGATTTGTTCATTTTTCATGATGAATGCTGGTCTGGTCTGATTGTGAGAGATTCTTTGAAAAGCTCCTCAAAGGCTTAAATGGAGGACTTAGACTAGAATGAGTCGAGAATGAGTCCACAGCTTTCTGTCTGTTAAAGGTTGCAGAGGACAGAAGAACATTTTTCTGTGGAGCAAAAATAAATCACAACAGGCTTCCGACTTCAGTTCAACCTGGAAAGACTCACACAGGGAAAAGGAGGCAATTAAGGAGATAAATGGATCAATTAGAAGTTCTTTGGTGCTCCGGACTCCAGAAGGAGCAAGAAGGAGCAAGAAGGAGCCAAAAGGAGCAAGATGGAGCCAAAAGGAGCATAATGTCAGACTCCAGGACTCTCTGGGTCTCTTTGGGTCTGTTTGGGTCTCTTTGGCCTTTCTGGGTCTCTTTC